CAGGGGTTCGGCCATTTTTAAAACGTGAATGCCACCCAAAAGTTTGTGCACGACCCATTGCGGACTCCCCAAATGCTTGCTTTAGGATTTCATAGGTTTCCGTAGCCGTTTTGGCGAGTCTTTGGCAAAATTTGATTTGTTCATGAAAATCCGCCATTCCGAAATCGCAGGAGGGTCGGTGTAATGCACTACCAAACCGCCCGTAACTAAGAAACAAATGCTAATTCGATGATGCCGGCTGGCACACTGATTCACTATGAATGTAGGCCGCACCCCCTAGCGGCAGAAGCTCGTACTACATCCGGTTCGCCCTCTATTGACACAGTCTTGAAACTTTCTGATCGCACCTCGTAATACTCCCCGTTGTGTAGTTGATCTTTCTTAGGCCTAAACGTCATCATAAATCAATGTATTAAAGGTTTATAATTTGAAAATGATAGTTTACTCAGATTACAATGAGTATTTTTATGACTGTGTAATAAATTAACTTGCAGTTTAAAATAAATATGTTTTTTACCGAGTTGTAAATTCCTACAATAAAAACACGTAAGTAAAGTACATCATTCTCTAGACTCACTCTGTAAATAAGTTTTTTATTACTTAAAGCTCATACCAAACCGCAGATTTTAAGCGAAGTGTAAATTGTATGCGGATAATTGACATCACTCATGCATATATGGTTAACTAAAAACATACAATTTTTAATTACTTGGTTATTTATGATTATTATATAATTAATTTGTCAAATTTTGTCCAATGAACCAATTAGATTGTAACTTAATAGTGAACCATTTTTTGTAATGAATTACAAATTATGAATATTGGAGATATCGAAAAAGGGACATCTTACTTAAAAAACGAAGTAACTGTTGTGTTAAAATATTGGCTATTTTCTGGGTTGTGGCGCACTGTATTCTGGTAGAAGTTTACCGACGTTTCAGAGGTCCTTACTGGCTAATACTTTCTTAGACATAGCTGTCTTCTGGGATGCAGCACCGTGTAGTCTGAGAAACATACTATTTGTTCAATCTTTTGTATGCTAAACAAGTTTTCGAAATTCAGTACTATAGTAAATGACGAAAACGAAATGATACCATTACCAGCAGTTTTACAACTGTTTCGCCAGGAAAAGAAAATGATTATGAATTTCGTAACGAATATTAGTGAATCTTCAGCTCTGGTAATTGCTAACTGCTATGGGAATACGTAAATATTATTGATTGTAAAACAAAACATAATTATGAATTTCGTAACGAATATTAGTGGATCTTCAGCTCTGCTATGGAAATACGTAAAGATTATTGATTGTAAAACAAAACATGTTTGTAACTTTACCTGAAGATGATTTTATTGCATATACAGATAATACTTTTACCAACGTACTGCACTGCAGGTAATATCACAGCATCAGAATCATCTTATCTTTATTTCGTTAACATTCAACACATGGGAAAATATTTTAAGTGAAAGTTTTAGATCAGGTTTCTCATATTCACATGTCAGCTTTTTATGCAATAAAACGCTTGTTAAAAATTGGTAGGTGATTTTGTATCCAGCTTAATGAAACATCGAAGTTGAATTGGACCATACGAACCGAAATTAAACTCGACTTATGATGTCTAGGAGCAAAAACAATTTTGATGTTTAGAAAAGGAATATGTGGGCGTAATAAATGAAAATAACCTACTTTAAGAAATGTGTCCCGCAATTTTAGAAGAACTAAGAGAAATCACGAAAAATTTCAATTTGGATCGCCGACATTAAGGCCAAAATTCGAATCATACGAAGTAATAAAACCAAGGGCTAACCAATGAAGGTTACAATGTTTAGTAATCCGAGGGGATGTTTCATTTTGAATCTCTGACATTGTTTCTTTCATGAGTGCAATTTTCTTAACTACGTATAATGCCGATGTCGACAGACTAAATACGGACACAGACTAAAGATTGAATAGGGAAGTATTTAACGACTTCGTTTCAGTTTCAGATGTTGCATATCAGCGTCTAATGAGATAGGAAGATTATCATGAACGGTCATTATGTAGGCTGAGGATCAGACCATTTGACATCTCCCCAACAGGGAGCAGAATGAACTTGATTATTTCGTAAGATGATTCAAGGTATGCTAAATCAAGGACTAGGAGATGGTTTTGGACAGACTGAACGCTTCGGAGACTAGAAAAATTAGTAGCTTTTTTTTCCTTTTGGAATACCAACATGAAAGAAATCGCTTGTGAGACTTTGACACGGATGGAAAGAAAAAATGGATTTTAGAAAAAAATGCGTGAATAGGTGGACTGTACCAACTTGCTCAGGATAAAAGAAAGTCAGGCCCTGTGTAAACAGTAATGATCTTTCGGCCTCTTTAAAAGCAGGTGGCGAGCTGGACAACTAACATCTCAAAGAATACGCTGACTCAAGCATACAGCTGTGATCATGTAATTTCTTACGTCAAACGTCAAAAACTTGCCGGGGTTACGCTCCAACCTACCGCGGCCTTGAATCGGAGAACTGTGGTAACTCTTTAGTACACAAGCCACTAGATCGTTACCGAAGCGCTGACCTGCCTGGTACACACACCTGGCTAGAAACTCGACGCAAAATAGCTCCGACCTTGAACCACGTTGCAGTAAGAGTGAAAGGGAGATGGAAATGACAAAGGGAACAATACGGCATTGAGCCTGTCTGAGAATGAAAACGTTTACTGAAAACAATTTTACCCTTTTAATTTTGACACGATCGGTGATATTTTGTGAACCAATGGAACTTTAATGATGTTGTTTTTCAGTTCATTTATGTTGTTTTCAATTATAGCCATAATACCATAATATAACATAATATAACTTGATACAATAATTTATTTTCCGTCTATACACAAACTTAAAATAATGTTGTTTAAAATTACTTAAAATTATAACATTCTCAGTAGATACTGTATCTTGTTACATTTTGTATTGTCAATACAAAATGTAACAAGATACAGTATCTACTGAGAATTTTGTATTGTCAATACAAAATGTAACAAGATACAGTATCTACTGAGAATGTTATAATTTTAAGTAATTTTAAACAACATTATTTTAAGTTTGTGTATAGACGGAAAATAAATTATTGTATCAATAAAACACAAACATGACGCAATTAAGATATAAAAAAAAATATATTATTTTACGATAAACACCGAATAATCAGTAATGTAATTTATTTAATTTATTTTATTACTATGTATAACTTGAATTATACACCAACAACTTTGGGAGTACAAAGTTGGAAGAGAAATTATATCTGAGGGTACGCGAACAAAAAATGGTTGAATACCACTGCTCTAGTACATAGCTCACACTGTTTACTGAACTGCACCATCGAATTACCATCCAGAACTCACACCTGTGGCAAATGTTTTCAGAAATGCAGAATTACTTCGGACCACGAGGACTCGCCATATTGTTAACCCACCGAATGTCAAACAAAGTATTCTTTATTCTTGTAGTTTAAGAACGGTAGTTTTTGAAACACGGTGACTTCAATATTAGTATCGACAAACAACTTGGAGTGATGATGACGTCACAACTGTAGTCTATTTAAGCGGTATTCAACCTGGGGTACGTGAAGACATCTTAGGGGGTACGTGAAATTTAAAAAATTTAAAATTTAATTTTATGATAAACACTCAATAATCAGTAATGTAATTTATTTAATTTATTTTAGATGTAGATTATATACTATGTATAACTCGAATTATACATCAACAACTTTGGGGGTACAAAGTTCAAGAGAAATTATATCTGGGGGTACGCGAACAAAACAGTTTGAATACCACTGTTTTAATGCATTAGCAATGCAGGCATACAACTCTCACGTGCTACTTCTATAGCCTGAACGAAATAATTTCACATTTGATAGCACGAGGCAGGATTTGGTTATTTCTCCCATGTACCATCGCTTTGCAGTCGTCCCTTCCCTCGAATGGGTCACTCATATTCGGAGTTATTCTGCGTCTGCTGTACTAATCTTGCCTGTACCTTAATACTATTTTCTTTAGCATCGACGCCGTCAAGAAGCGACTGGCATCACTACTTCGCAAACAGGGTGGGGACCGGCGCATGCATACACATGCGATGTGACGGACAGACACCAGGTAGCTGAACTAGCTCAAAAGGTGCTAAAGGATCTGAGTCGCGTAGATATCCTAGTGAACAGCGCGGGAAACCACGTGCAGGCTCCTGAAGTGTTTGTTGATGCTGTCAACGTGAATCTTTTGTCGCATTTTTGGGTAAGCTGTTTATTTATACAGACTCATTTATAAAGACGTCTAGCTACAGCTCATTCGTCAAGCTGGAAATGAAGTCGGACAATCTGGCACGAGAAAAGTTTCAAGGACACAAAAAATATAACTTTCTTCAAAATAATATATAACCTGTTTTAAGTTGTTCTTTAAAAGAATGCAAAAGACTATGACGACAATGCAGTACTACATATCGTATCGACTTCTTGAAGCAAGAATGTAAAATATCTTGTGTTAAATCATAAAATCACAAATTCTGTGTGGTCCACGACTGTAATTTGTACCTTTGTCAAATTTCATTAGGGTTGTTAGGTCAAGAACGGTGACACGGGGTAGGCCTAGGAGAAGAGAATGGTATAAAATTGCTACCTTTTTCAAGGCCGAAACCGAAAGTGACGTAAGCGTACAGCTGGCGTTAAAATTCCAGTTAAATTACAACGCCAATGACAACAAATATTGGAAAATAAAAGAGGCCTATTTTATTCGCACTTTCAGCCATGCCAGTGCAATGCAAATAACACGGTTATATTCTGGTTGATAATACCGATGATTAGTTTCTGCTCGTCGGCAAAGTCAGTGAACTGCGAATGCATTACAGAATAACAATAATTTTACATTCTTTATCGGGTATCATAATGAGTTTGGTATAAGTTACGCGTGCACATTTCGAAACACAAGGTTGATTACTGTACACCTTTGCCGTTTAAATGAGTATTTGTGCGAATTCAGAGTGTGTATTGACACAAAAGCACACGACCGACATTTGTCTGCCTTAACTTACTGTTGTATGCTTGCATCACTTCCGGTTTTGTACTTAGAAAGCTTTAGAACTTGATTTTTGTTGCAGAAAGTATATTTATCTGTACATGTCACAGAAAGTTTTCGTTAATTGTGTTAGTCACAAAGTTTTGCCTTAGAAACAATCTTAGTCTCATGCCACTCGTTATGTGTATACTAGAGATGAAAGTGGGCGGAGCTTGGATGTTTAAATTATTTTAGCCAGATGCAAAACAAACCAGTAGTCTCATCTCAAAATACATTCCGTTTTGTTATAATATTTTTATACACGAGCCCTTCTTTCACTAAACAAGGTCACTGATCACGTTAAGTGATGTAAACATTGAAGTTTTCGTTGTTTAGAAGCAAGGACAGTTACCAATGTCTCATGATGAAACATTGGAGTGGTTGGTGTTTTAATTGAACCAATTAAAATGCAATTAAAATAGAATCAAGACGTACATTCTGGTATATTTTTCCGTTTGAAGATAACTGTATTTTAGGATGTTGCGCCGTGTCGTTTGATAGAAGTTTACCGAAGTTTCAGGTGAAAATATTATCTTCATTTCAGGCTTGATGCGTCATTTCGTGGAGTCAAAGCGTTGGTATAGTCAGAAGACGAGATGCTTTCGATATTTGTATCTGTCAATTGCAAAAAGTTTTACTTTTTCAATTTCGATCTATCCAGAAAATCAGTATGTTCAAAGAATATTACATTACAGTTGCTAGACATGCTGTCTTTAGTATCCTAAGAAAGAAATGAGTGGTTTAGTCACGAGTGACTCCGATTCCAGACTCTGCTAGCCTTCCTGCCTGGCATGGTGGAGAGAAACCACGGCCATGTGGTGGCCATCTCATCTGCGTCGGGTGTGTCTCCACCGTCCAACAAGGTTCCCTACTCCGCCGCCACAGGTACTGCAAATTTACATAAGTGTAGGCCACACGATCGCACTTATTAGTATTCGAGTGCTCAAGAACACTTACGTCAGACTACTGCACGTATTTAAACACGCTCGATCAACACACATGAATCCCGTAATCCTTGGGTGTTTAACAAAGCATTGTTAACTTCACTGGCAACATCGTCAAATGGTTATGAAGGATGTGAATTATGCATTTTAATTCTTTAAAATTTCGTGATAATATCATATTTAGAACGACTACTCCAGGGTTCGCTTCAACAGAGTAAAGAAAATGTAAATTGTAGACGATCTTGGTATAACCGGTATTCTGGATAAGATTCGAACCTGGTACCTCCCGAATGCGAGACAGGATTAGCACAACCACACGTTCAGGTTGAGGAAGTGTACGGAGACTACAGACGAAGAGGTGAAGCCACTTCGCAACAAACACAAAAAAACTCCAGGTGAAAGAACGTGCTCTGTTCTCACTCAGCTGATGGAACTACTCGGCGTAGGCATGAGATTATATTTAGTACATGTTAATTTCTTCATAGTGAAAGAGTTTTGCTTTAATAAAAACGTTTTAGTTTTACTTGTAGGAAAAAATACATGTTTGAACCTGTCCAACCAAGTTAGCCTATGGTGCCTACTGAACTTTTGACATGAAAAGTATAAGATGGTAAAGTTACGTCATATTGTGATATAATAAGTATATATTAAATCTTGTCCGTCTAATCACAATAAATTATTATTAAATATTAAAATATTACAATAATTAACATTTAAAATATTAAATGATGTTCTTTATCGAAATATTCGATTTACATTAGAAAAATTAAAAATGATGGTCTAATGTAAATCGAATATTTCGATAAAGAACATCATTTAATATTTTAAATGTTAATTATTGTAATATTTTAATATTTAATAATAATTTATTGTGATTAGACGGACAAGATTTAATATATGAAAAGTATACTTATGTTGAATCGTCTTTATTCATTTCAGGCACTTACACACACTATTCATAGTTTAATTGGGTTCAAATACTCGATACACTACAAGACACACAGCTCAGAATGGAAAAAAACCTGTACTCACCAAGATGTGCTGAAAATTTATTAACTTTTAAAATTAGAGACAAAACATCTTAAAACGTTGTAGCGTATAATCTTATCATTATTTGAGACAACGTGGGGAAAATTAATAAGTGACTGTCCCAGTGCAATGACTTCAATCGTATATTCGACCCTGATGATGGACATATTAGGCTGAGACATCGGAGAAAGACGTTCGTCACTTATGACTCTTCATCTCACTGTCTGTATTCCTCAAGGTTTCTCGTTCGAGAGGTTTCTTGAGCAAAGTATTTCACTCCAAAAGCAGTTTTACAATTTTTCTATATTTTGAGATAGCAATGGATAAGTTCCATTACTTCCCATTTAAATCATTAAACTGCAATGAACACATCACAGTACTACAGCATAAACGCAGAAAACTCATGGGTCTGGAACAAAAGCTGAACGTGGGGCTCAAATCGCCGTTGTGTTGTGTATGATTCATGCAGGGGATTTCGTTCTGGTATTAGTGATGTTTACTGTAAAGAAATACGAAACTGGAACGAATGTATGGCACACTTCCTGGTTTAACTTTATGCTTGCTACGTGCCTGGCTGGACACCGGTTTTCATATCCAGTGTCAAACCTACAGCAGACAACCTTGTGGTTATCGTGTTACTTGTCCACTGTCCGAGGAAGTCTCCCATTCCTCTGCCCTTGGTTTCCCATACAAATTACAGACAGAAGTCGTAGGAAAAGGATCCAAAATCTAAGCTAAGAACGAAGGCAACAGCTCACAGGAAACGCATAGAATTGGCGCAAATGCAGAATGCCTGCATTGCGCTGATGATTACGAAGGTCAACACTGGATACGATATATCATATGCAACGAATGGGCAGACGCAGACTGTCTTCAAAACCAGAATTGTGTTACAGCAAAAAAAAAAAGTCAAAGATGATTAATAATTATTAATGTATTCTAAATAATTAAACCTCCCGAAATTAGGAACGTATGGGTGCCTAATTTGGCGAACGCAATATTTAACTTACGTAATATTTAACATGTTTTATTGTAAATTTTAACAAGTGGCAGGCAATAAAACGGGGTAATATTTCGAATTATTTTATTTGTGAAGATAAATTTGGTCGTATCAACGCACCAGGAAGGCGAAACATGAAAGTGAAGTTTCACATACGAATATTCTAGTTCACATTCGGTGGAGGTATGAGATGACCTTAGTGCCCGAACAGTTTTAAACCCTTAGGAAAGAGCCCCCGCCCCCCATTTGGGCCTCCGAAACTTCGTTTATAACTTTAATTTCGTTAGTGTCATTTGAGTTATGCCCTTCATTTCCATTGCACAGCTGTACAAAATGTCGAGGTCTAACTACAGCCTTTGGCTTTTACGCGTGTGACCTTTGATCCCTCACTTCCAGGTCTGATGGAGGCGCTCTCCCAGGAGTTATGTCTAGACGATCACGACATCAAGCTCACCTGTGCCCACGTGTATTTTGTCGACACAGGATCAGAACTTCTGGAGCTGAAGAACTTCAGGTAAAACACCACAACCTTTTTAACGTCGGGTTTTCTGCTCTAAGAAGAATATACAGTGATCGGAAGGAAGGCGTAAAACGTGTCTTTGGCTTTGCCGTGTCTTCTGTCGATATGTCAAACTTAAAAGAAATCCTGAGGTCTACTAAAATTTGTCGAAACATTCCCGTTTTGATCCAAATCATATGAACGGAGACGGCTCGATGACTTCGGTTATTTGCGTTTCTGAGGGGATTTCGAGCGTAACTCTAGAAGTATTTATCAGGGCGAAAAAAGGGTTTCGAACAAAAGTTGTAAAGCAAATGAAACGCATACGTTATACTTAAAACAGTAAAATATCACTACAAATCATGTTTCTAATGACATTATATCATAATGAATGGCAATGAAAAGAAATTAGTAACGTAAAATTTAATATCTGTACGTAATGTGGGTGGAAATCTACCAGACTACACGTTCCAACAACCCAGAAGACAGCAAACTTCCGACTCACCGCTGTGATAACCTCAAATCCTACATATCTATACTTATTGATGTGTTTAATAATTATAAATAACGAACCATTATAACAGGGCCATATGAAATTTATTATTCTTATATATGATACGATCATATTTATAAATTCATATAAAATATTTCTTGTACTTTAGAAGCAAAATTTGGAAGCGACGTCTAACATAGTTTTATTACATGCTGAAATCGGTCCCAGTCAAAATGATGGCTTATCTGTGGCTGTCTGTGTGCAGGATTCCAGAGCTGTCTCCACAGCGTGCGGCGAGGGACATTATAAGTGCAGTGCAGCACAACAAGAATATAGTCACTGTACCTCGCGACCTGCCCTTCTGTCAAAGTGTCATCAGGTACATTATTCCAAAAAAAAGCCTTGAAACATTTTACTTTAGTATAATCTGGTGTGGCTCAGTAAGTACAGTGTCAATACATGGATAGACTGTGGCTAAAAGACTGTACATATTGACAGCAATATCCACAGTCTAGAAGAAAGAAACTTTGTCTCTAGAATAAATAATGGAAGACGCATCTTGTCCTCAATCAGTGGGTTGTTATAACTGCTATATGGGTGGAGTCGGTAAATTTGAACAATACAAAATTTCATGGAAATTTAGGCACTGGTGGGTAAATATTATTACTACGTGCAATAGTCAGTTCATACAAATTGTACAGGGAAATGCAGTTGCTTCTCAGAATAAATTGATGTGCCAACTAGCATTCTGAAATTCATAACAGATGAACTAATGGATGACTTCTGCTCAAAATAAAAAAAGATTACCATTTGCCAGTCCTTAATTAGTAATAAGTATGACCAACTTTTCAAAGGGAAATCGTGTTACGCGATTCAGTAATATCACTTAGCATATGATAACAGCATTCAAATCATTGAGATATGCACACTGTAGCTGCCAGAATAAATAAAAGAAGCATACTGCCATAGTTTTGCAACTTTTCATGAAAGAAAGTGTGTTTAGACATTTTTTACAGTCTGAATTGTACTATAATTTCTGTAAATCTTTCCTATTTATGAAGTTAAAAGTGTTTCATAAGAGTTTTACAACATGTATTCTTTGACATTATTTTATATAAACAAGTAATGTTAGTAAATTTGAAATTTACTAACCTGGTCACATGTCTACTGTACTTCACAGAATGGATTGTGGCTGGTTTACCATTATTCAAATTGCTGTTGAAAATTTTCAAACATTTTTTTCTCACGTCAGCACATTCCATAAAGAACAGATGTTTGTATTTTATCATGTAGCCTTAAAAAATACTTGTAAAGAATTTTCGCTTTGCCCATGGTTAACAACGCATAGAATTTGTAATGCACTATTTTGCTGGCAATGTCTGCTGTTTTCAAAAAGTAATACGATCAATTTATATTCTTCAAAAAGAAGTTTTTTTACGTTGTAACCTTTAGGTTTTAAATTGGGCATGGAAAGTATTGAAACCTTCAAAGATTTCGAACTTCTGATGTCCTTTCCTTATGCCAAAACATTTTTGGTATAAATGTAGATTTTAATTTCGGCAAAAATAATACGGCACTTTCAGAGTAAGCCATCTTCTGCTGTCTGTATTCCTTATTGTTATAGGACAATGCCCTGGGATATGAGGGACATCTGGCAGGAACTGTTCCATGTCCAACTGACCCCCATTACTCCATCTTACCAGGGCGAAGTTGTCGACGATGGAATCAAGACGTGAAACCCCGAGAATCCTTAATGTACTTTTTAGTATGTCAACGGAGGGAATGATAGGTCTAGCTGGAATGATCAATAATTAAAGGACAAGTGGGCAAAAGTTTGGGTTTCACAGTAATGTATATGTTCTTCTTAAACAAATACTTCATCTGACGATTCAGATTGGCCGTGCCTTTGCATGCCAAACAATTTGTTGATTGTGTGTCTCAGTGCCTAAAGCATAATGCTAGCAATTTATTTTATGATGTGATCAAGGAGAATCTGGTTAACACGTAGATTTGATATATTTCATATTCACTAATATTTACAGCATAAAGAATACAGGCATACCTCGGAGATATTGCGGGTTAGGTTCCAGACCACCGCAATAAAGCGAGTCACACGAATTTTTTGGTTTCCCATTGCATTTAAAAGTTATGTTTACACTATACTGTAGTCTATTAAGTGTGCAATAGCATTATGTCTAGAAAAACATTGCGATAATTACCAAAATGTGACACAGAGACACGAAGTGAGCACGTGCTGTTGGAAAAATGGCGCCGATAGACTTGCTCGACGCAGGGTTGCCACAAAGCTTCAATTTGTTTTAAAAAAACGCAATATCTGCGAAGCGCAATAAAACGAGGTATGCCTGGGAAAAATGATGTTTTATTTCTGGGTAGTTTAAGAAATTTGTGAAGTAATGGTTTCAGTCATGATACATGAAGTGTTCGTAGTGTCATAGCCCTTTGATCAATGACACTCCAACCCGATACACAGTGCAGTGTAAGATGAGGCATTACATGTGTTTTGACTTTATAGTAAGAATACATTAATAATTAGTCATCAGTAACACTAATTAAATATGTTATAAAAATTACATATGTTATGAAATACATAAAAAAATATACATAACAAGAGTGAATAGGTACAGTCCAATTAAGTAAACATATTTTCGAAGAGTTTTTGTGATTTTCCTTTACCCTGATGTTCATTTATAACCGATACAAAATACTACATTAGTGCAAAGCTAATTGCACTACCAATACTACAATTTGCCACTCCACAGTGTTGTTGTGTTGTTCTTAAATATTCACGATAAAAAATAATTCAAAGAAAAGTATTTCTTTATATGGTCTTCATTCCAGGATTTTTGTAGGAATATTTTTTAAAATTTAATAAATTTGTGGTTTTCATATAAAGTAGGAGTTACAATAACTGACGAGAGCATATAAGAATTAATTTCACCCAATAACTTTGGTATTGATTCCTCAATACCAAATTTTAGCAGGATCCACTTTTGGAGATAAGAAAGTGAACAGACACTTAACTTTATGCAAAGAGCATACAAGTTTATATCATCATTAAGCCATAGTGAGTGATGTAGATCAGTGGTATTCAACCTTTTTTGTTCGCGTACCCCCAGATATAATTTCTCTTCAACTACGAGGAACGCAGAAGTTTTACTAGAGGCTAGTAGACAGGTGGGGCTAGAAGTAAATTCAGAAAAAACTAAGTACATGTTAGTATCTCATCGTCAGCAGACAGGAGGGCAGAATTATCTTAGGGTGGCTAATAAATCCTTTGAAAGTGTGACAAAGTTCAAATATCTGGGAACAACAATAACAAATCAAAATGATACTCATGAGGAAATTCTGGAAATGCTTGCTACTTCTCAGTTCAAACCTGTTGTTTTGTATGGGTGCGAAACATGGTCTCTCACTCAGAGGGAGGAACACAGATTGCAGGTGTTTGAGAACAGGGTGTTGAGGAGGATATTTGGGCCTAAGAGGGAAGACGATGGGACATGGAGAAAACTGCATAATGTCGAGCTTAAAAATCTGTACTCCTCCCCTAGTATTGTCAAGGTGATTAAGTCGAGAACAGTGAAATGGGCTGGGCATGTAAAGCGCATGGATGGGACAAGAGGTGTGCACCGGGTATTGGTTGGTAAGCCTGAGGGTAAGAGGCCGCTGGGGAGACCTAGACGTAGATGGGAGGATAATCTCAGGCGGGATCCATGGGAGACAGGAGTCGAAGGAGACTGGATTTTGTTGGCCCAGGACAGGGTACGGTGGAGGGCTTTTGTTAATTCGGTGATGAACCTTCGAGTTCGGTGAGCCATCTAGTAGTAGCAGTAGTAGATATTATTTCAAAAATTTCTTTTGACTTTCTGTACAAAAATTCTATAATGTTTCTAGTAATAATAACAGTGGTTATTCTTAATTAAATATATATTTTGCGGCCTGCAGACAGGAGCAGTTCGGTAATGTGGCCCTTTGGATGAAAAATATTATATACACTTTTAATAACGAGTGTGCAATGGCTCTTGGTACAGTATATAAGCTAGGCATTGGATATGCATTTTAGGTAGACGCGTGTGCCGTCTCGAAAATAGATTTACCGACCCTCCAAAAGACAACATATTTTCAGTGCCAGGTTTCCTGAACCGCAAGGTATAACGGGATATTAAACTACCGCTGCACTAGAATCAGTGGCGTGCAATACACAGATAAATGGAGATGAGCAGTGGACTCATTGAGGGCAGGTGAGAATTACGCTATCACAATTCTTGCCGACATTAGTGATAATTGGTTTTAGTCGTTCCCTGTCCGCTCGTCAGTAGGCTTAAACTTTTCTATCATATTTTGCTACAATTCTGTAAACCCACTAGTGCACGAGTAATTTGTAGTGGTTACCCTAATTCCACCAGTGCTACACACTAATATTCACCAAGGATCGGTATACAGTATCCTCATCTCAGGGTTACGTTAGCAACGCATTCTGAATTCAAGCATTATGACTTATCCTTCGAGGATGCACCACTCTGATCTTTTGATTCAGAATGAATACTGAAATACGTATTCTATGAGTTGTTTTTGATGCTTGTCTCCTTGGGAGATGTCATTCATAGGGGATTCCCCTATGTTATTATGTGGGTGGGATAATTGGTTAGGTATGTCACGCACGCAAGGACGCAAGATGGTTTTAATAAGTGTCCGTTATTGTTGTCCGATTTAAACAAAGTTTGGAATGTGTTGACAAATTGTCGCAAAGCAATCCAGTCGTAAAACACTTGAAACAAGTGTTGGACGTCACTCGAAGGTGAATTTACAAAATCAACAGCAGCACACCATATAAGTATAGACGAGTGGAGGCCAAGTTGCATTCATTCTTAATTTTTATGACATGGATGTGAATCGTCAATCGTGAATGGACATGATTTTAGATGAAGGACGGGTTTATTTATTGTTTCATTGTTTCAATGACAAATAACGTAATTTGTTTCGCTACTCCTGCCTTTTGAACCTTTGACCCTAATGTGCTCTTTATGTCTGATGAAGATGCACGGAACTACCGACATCTATTGACAATATACTTCAACAGTTACTCGCACGACTAGATAGACCGCAGTGAACTCCAAGGTTACTACAGAAACGTTTGCTCGTCTCTGCCATGCGCAGTTCAGGCTGGTCGCAAATGGTACTGTACAAACGAATATGGCAGTGATTCGGTTGTTAGATGAAGGAAGGATTGGGCGTAGTAGTGATTCATCGTAATCATCTGTGACGACAAAAGACAACAGCAGCCATTGGTTCTCATCTGTTCGGTACGTATGTTAACTACGTCGGTTACCGAAACTAAAGTTCATGTCTGTAGCATCGTTAAACGTGTGATAAACTGACGTCTACTGCCGTTGCCCAGCGATTTGTCTTAATTCAGATGTATTTCTGTACGTGTAAGAGCATATCACGTAGGTTAATTCCATTGTCAAGAAACATTTGAGGTAATTTTGTCAAGAAGTATAAGTTGTTATGGTATGATTCGTAATTATAACATTTCAATGCAGTTGCTACTTGATTCATTTTTGTTCGAACTACACGAGTAGGGTTAACGGATCTGAAAACAATGGTCACCAGAAAAGAAACAAAATTCAGTGCCACAAACGCAGCTGGAAAAAAGACGACCAGTTGCCACAAACATTTAAAATAAACACATTTACAAATTGAAATTTTAATAAAATCGATACAATATTATAAGTCTATCTCACTTTAATTTTTTAATATCTGTACACATTTTGTTGGAGTAGACCTAATTGTAATGTCAGTTTGATTTTGTTCAACCCTCTTTTGCGATAATTTTGGCCTAAATCGCTTTTAATTCTTAATAATTGAAGTATGGATATTTGTTTAATATTGCACTGTCACAGAATTATCGCTTTTAATTTCAATTTATATTCTACTACTCTTGATATTTCTGAATATTACCTAAGTTGCATTATTGCTAAATAACCTATCAAATATTTCTCTGTGTTTATTTCTCGACCAACATTTTTGATAGAATTTAAGTGTCCCTTTGTGTTTTCTTTCTCAAAATTATAACTTGTTTACCATTTCGCCCAAGAAATTAATATTGTCACAGATCAGAAGCTGATATGTGCTTTTCAGATTCAGTAGTTTTCGATTTTAATGAACGTACGTAAAGTTGTATTCCAAAAATTGACTATAAATTATGTCTATAAATGATCTCAGACCATTAGAACAATTCAATTCAATTAATTTATTTACGTGTTTGCCAACAGCAAGAAGCCAATAACAGGAAACACTCATAAATATACAATAATAATGAAATAATAAAGAAAAATATTACAAAAAGAGATTAATTAAATTTATATATGTACAGTATTAAATAATACAGCCAATTACAGGGAATCCCCAAAAACGAAACAAATTTATACACAAAGAAAAATAAATGAAGAAATATAAATAAAAACAAATAATCCACCT